TTTTTTTTTTTTTTTTTTTTTCCTCCCAGGCTCTGATCGAGGTGGCAGCTTCAATTTCTCCTCCCCCGTTCTTTTCCTTCTTCCTGCTCTGCTCTCTGTCTGTCTGAAGCACCTGGGTCTCATCTCCTGAACATAAATTAAGAAGATTATGGATTTGGTATCGTGGGCGTTCAACTCTATTGATAAGATTTTTTTTTCATCAAAGTGACAAGGTCCTGGAGAACCAGCATGTCCAGCTGAGACTACATATTTGGACTTATAATAGCAGGGACTCTGCTTTTTGGCATCGGCGGGGCTCTTTTTTATCGACTTTTGAAGAAAACAGCGGGAGCAGTTTTGGCCATGGAAAAGCTTCCGACTCAGTGTGAAGGTTTGGTCCTGGCTGTGGGAACTTTAAATTGTTTGGTTTACGAGCTTAATCGTAAGGTGGAGGCGATTGAGAATCGCAGACCACCTGTGGCTTCTGGGACTCGTCAGCGTGGTGGGTTCGACCTTGAAGCAGACTCATAGCATGGATTAGCTAAATTAAATTCCACAATTAGGCTTTTTCGGAACCAGAACGCCCAGATGAGCTCAAGGCTGAAGAAAAAATCTGTCTGCCTGAATAAAAACAAATATTAAGCTTATCTAATCTGACTCCCAATGGCCTCGGAGACAGGCTGACTATCAAATTTCTCCTGGGACATGAGTACCCAAGGACAAAAGCTTCATTTATTGCCCCTCCCAAGAACTTTCTGTGCAAGCTTATCAGAACTGCTGGCTGAAAACAACATCGTCAGAAACTGTGGCTGATCTGAAAAAAGCTCATGGACAAATCTCAACACCTCGATGTCAAATGCAAACTTATTCATGTTTTAATTGTGCTTGCTGGTAGAGCTTTTTGATGTCTCAAATCGTGTCCTGATAGACAAGATGTAAAAGATCTTTTTTTATAATAGCACTATCTACCCTCATGTTTCTCCCCCTTTTCCTATCTAAGATTATTATCTGATAAGGATAAAATGGCCACGCTCTCCTGTAGTTGCAGCTTCGTGCACTCCGCCCATCTTTTGGAAGACTGTACGTACATATTCGCGTTGTACCTCGGTGCAATTCCAATAAAGTTTATTCTGATTCTGATT